ATTAGGCCACCGCAGGAGAAACTTGCTTTTGGTGTCTGTGTGGTTACCAGCGTCATGTTCCTATTATGGGACGTGAATGAATACGACCACATAACTCAATATAGGTGAAAAGACATTTGGATATTGACGACACCGACAAATTAATGCTCATTTATATGCCAAATTCGTAACGTTTACTCGTCATCGACTATTATGCGTGTGAACAAATCGATAAGGGTAAGAAGAGCAGGGGATGTAACATGCATGATGAAGATGAAGGGATCACTATAGCGACTAAGTTTATATGGGAAGATGATATTAAAATGGATGTAGCGGGATGCGATGTGAGGATATTGCCTGTATTTATTTGTTCAGGATAGAGTTCAGTGGCGGGCTCTTTTGAACGCAGTAATGAAACGTCGAGTTTCGTAGAAGACGGCTACCATTAGCGTCTCAAGGAATATGCTTCATGATAATTTTTCGTTTTCTGGGATCTTACGCCTTGTAGTTTGGTAGATAAGGCAATGACACATCAAGTTGAGCTCACATACAAAATTTTCGTTTATTTTAAGGAAGGTATTCAACTTATCGCCTGCATCTAATGTAAATTACTGTGAAAATTATTGAAAATTTGTGTAATAACAAGTCAAATATGAACATGTTCTCGAAGAATGTAAAGTTTGTAGTGATCATTTTTATTGTTAAGGGAATCTTGCCTGCGCACGCGCGGGTGTGTGTGTGTGTGTGTGAGATTATATTAAACGTGGGTGATACTATGTCTAAATTATGAGCAAGTGCTAGGAATATTTGAATGGGAGATTAAATCAGTTGCAGTAGGTTTCATCTTTCAACGAAATAACTGGATAGGAAACTCGATTAGAATTATATTTATGAGTACTATATTATTTTTATAATAACCAGAGCCCCAGTGAAGGAGCCGGGATAGTGCAGGCGGTATAGCAACTGGCTATATGCTGGATGACCAAGGGCTCAGATTTCGAGTCCAAGTAGGGGCAAGATTTTCTCCTCTCCACGTCATCCAGACCGACTCTGGGACCCACCCAGCCTCCTTCCAGTGGGTACCGGGGGCTCTTTCCCCGGGTCTAAAGTGACCGGGCCGTGAAGCTGACCACTCACCTTAAACTAGTGCCGAGGTCAAGAATATATGTGTGGATCTATACATCCACTCCCCCATACGTCTTCATGGCGTAATCCGCAATAAGTTAAGCACGGGGACAACTTCACTTTTGCCTTTACCTTTACCTTTACCTTCAGAGCCCCAATGTACACGTATTTTATGGCATTATCATCCAGTATGGTGAACAAGGCTATTCAGAAGTTCCAGTTCACGTGGTAGTTGCCTGTATTTCCGTATACCTACGGAACTTGTTTTTCATTTAACGTGTTCAGGCCAAGTAACTTCTAAGAGTTATTTTCACTGTTGAGTTAAACTGGACAGTTTGAAAGAAAACACAGAAACTCGTCGTCGATATAATATTTTTTTAATTGTGGCAATAAGCGTTTGGGCGCAGACTGTGTCATAATTATCTTTAAAAATTTGCAAATACTTTAAATTCTTATGCTTACTTGTGTTATCTGTTCGCTCATATCTGGTGTAACCAATCGCACTAGAGCTATTCACTCGCGTTTTAATGGCTTCGTTTCCTCAGTCTGTTTATTGTGAGTTGTCACGTTATGATGAAAATGACTTGTGAATGTTACTTAGATCTGAGATTGCACCTTAACTGTTTAGTGTTGGACAATAAACTGCATAAACCACAACCGTTCTTTCTCGCTCTTTTGTAAATAAATTTCTAGGTGTAGGTTCAGCCATCATCCACTGTACGTAAACTCGTTTCCACAGAAACCTGGAATGTCTATAACTGCATTTATAACAGCACATCATTATCATTGGGGCACGCGGTAGCGTAGTTGGTTGAGGGGTCATGCTACAAGCAGGAAGGTCGCGGCTTCAAGTCCCGATGAGGCCATTGGATTCTTTTTTCAAATTACCTAATCCTTCCAGCCGCACTATGGCCCTGGGGTTCACTCAGCCTCAAACAGAAATGAGTACCAGGAATTAATTAAATAATTTTCCCGAGGAGTAAAGCGCGGCCGGCGCTTAAGGCTGACAACCTTACCGCCATCTTTGAGCCGAATGTCTAGATCAGTGTTCCGCAACATTTTTCTACTCGCAGCACACCATGAAGTATCCATGACTCAACACGGCACACCAAAATGTTATTCCCCTCAGAAACGTATATCAGATAATTAATATAAATACGTAACGTGATCAGTTTATTACTATAATATTAGTATTTTATTATCATTAAACAGAAATCGACTCGTGCTTTTATTAACAATTAATGAACTTCAATTCACTGTAGAGTGTAGGAAATACACTTCTATTACTATTAAAGTAAATACAGTAATTCTACTCATAACTTCCATGTGATACTTCCGCCTGCGCAGCTACACACAGGCGACTGATCCGTGGTGGAATCGTTGACAACACAAGTCTCGTTTCTTCATCGATGGATTTGAGCCGCTCCCTCTTTGATGTCTTAATTTCAGTTAACGTGGAGAAGCCCAGTTCACACAAATATGTAGTTGAAAATGGCAATAACACATTAACTGCCATCTCTGAGATAGCCGGGTATCCACTCCTTATTGCCAACCAAAACGTACCCAAAGGCACTTCGAGAAGTTTTAGTTTCAATGTTCTGTCTGCTTTTGAATCTGCGAGTTCCTCTTGTATATTAATCGAAAGATGTTCTGAATTCGCAACGAATGGATCACGAACCCAGTCGAAATCTTGTACTCTCTCCCCAAAATTCTAATTGAATTTCTGCTGCAGCATTTCTAAATGTTCTTTAATTGTGTCCATCACCACTTTATTGCCGTCATCAAGTGGCCATACAGTCGGGGACATCTCAAACGACCCATCTGTAATTCTCTGTATCCACAAATTCAGCTTATTTACAAATCCTTGTAACTTATCCATATTAGTTAGTTTATTTTCGTTCCTACCTTGCATCTTTCTGTTCAGCTCAATCAAGTGTATGAAAATATCGGAAAGATATGCCAGCTTACATATCCATTCATCATCTGCAAATAAATTCGCGTACTCATGCCCCTCAAAGGTAAAAAATGCACGTACCTTCTCATTAAGTTCAAATATTCGCGTTAACACTTTTCCTCATGATAACCAAAATAGTGTTATAAAAGACAGGGAAACCCTTGCTAATCCCTGCAGTTTTCGGGAAATGCACGTACACAGTACATGCTGCAAGTTTATCAAAGAAACCGCGTAGATGCGAAAAAAATAAAAATAAATCAATAATGAAAACTATGATATAACAACAACTGTGAGTAAATAATTTACGTTTAATTTCTTAGAATACAACATTACTGTACATAAAAAATCACAGCATGTAATAAAGAATAAACAAGCATCATCTTATTTAATCAGTGCAGTGGCTGAGAATAAAATACAAGCATATGAAACACGGTAACTGGGATAAAATAAAACGAATAAAATTCGACAATTAATTTCTTACAATAGGTAAAAGTTCGCGTCACACCTTTCACCTTGTGACGGCACACCGGTTGCGGAACACTGGTCTAGATAATGTGGGACCCTCAACGTCTCACAACCCTATGGGCATTCACGGCCTGTTACAGGGATAGATTTACTTTTAATTACATCATTATCATTAGCCGAAATAGCTCAATCGGTGTATTGATGTGCTGTGGACTGAAAGGCCGAGGTATTGAGATTTGATTCCTGGCAGAGGCAAAAATTTTTCTCTTTCCCACAGAGTCCAGACCGCCTCTGGGACATACTCAGCTCCTTATCCAATGGGCTCCAGGGGTTCTTTTCCTAGGTGTAAAACGGCCAGAGTGTGAAGCTGAACGCTCACCTCTATCTAATGAATCCATATATACACTCGTCTGTACGCATTCTTGGCGTAGGGCGTAATAAATGAAGCACAAGGATAAATTTGGCTTTTACGTCATTATCACGGCATTTTCTACTCACATTTGTTTGTATATAGATTATTTAACGATGTCAATAACTCAGACTATGCAGAATGAAATGATACTGGGTAATGAACTGAACGGATTTGGAAGTAAACGATCCTGGATTAATTTTAGATACTTTCACGGCATTTGCTTGGAAGTTCTCAAGAAAACCACGAAAAACATCAGTTAGGATAGTCTGTATCCTGGCCGACATTCGAACTGGGTGCCTCCCGGGTCTGCCAAAGATTATAGATATGTGTTTCTACCATGTAAGTGTACTGCCACGCTTGTTAAATGCCCAGTCTCGAGTGAAGTTACGCGAAAAGTTTTTACTAACATACATAATTTTGCTTCATTTCGTTGTCCAGTTATGAATCTTGAACTTGTTCAGTTCCGTTTAAGTATGTGTGGACCCTACAGCACAATGTGTTTCTTAACAAATTATTCAATTAAACTATTGATTGTGTGGCACGCAGTAGCGTAGTTTTTGAGGCACTATACTACAAGCCATAAAGTCGCGGGTTCGAGTCCCGATTGGGTGGATTTTTTTTTTCAATTTACCTAATACTTCCAGCCGCATTATGGGCCAGGGGTCGACTCAGCCTCTAACAGAAATGAATACCAGAAATCATCCGGCGAGGGGGTAAAGGGCCGCCGGCGCGTAAGGCGGACAACCTTACCGACATCTGCGAGCCAGCTGTCTAGAGAAAATGTGGGAGCCTCGACGTCTCACAATCCTATGGGCCTTCACGGCCTGTTACCGTGTTTTCTTTCCTTTGATTGTAGACTGAAATAATCTGCTATAATGGACCTTAATATGAGGTAATCTAGTTTCCTAAATAGTAAAATATTGCTTCCTACTTGAGATTTGAGATTTTCATATCAGCGATTTAGATAGCGATCTCGTTATGACACTAGTCTGGTATATGATTATAAATGTTTTCGAGGAACTTTCTGCTTTCACATTACGTGTAGAAGATGTAAGCTATTGATAGTTTCTTTTCTTTACAGAAGCCAAAATATCCAAAATCTGTTTTCTTCATTGTCGTCAACGAGTTCTGTGAAAGATTTTCCTATTATGGAATGCGAAGTAAGTAAACAAATTCCTTATGATACAGTTATTCCACTTATATCACAAAAAACGCGGAGTTCGCAGGAATTAAAATAAGAAGAAATCAGCAATCTGCTTATACTGTGATCTGTAAAATTGCTATTAAATTTTGCCACCCTTTCTGTCTTCCTCTGTATTTAGTTCAGTTGGTATAGCGATAGGTGGCGGACTGGACCGCCGGCCGAAGAATTGGGGTTCGATTCTCGGCAGGGGAAGAATTTTCTGCCTCCTATCCAATAGGTACTGGGGAACCTTTCCCCGGAAGCAAAGCGCAGTGGTGTGAAACTGACCACTCACCTCCATTTAAATCTTAGGTTACGAATTAAGGAAGGAGCTCTTCCTTCACTCACCCATATAACTTCATGGTGTAGTGCCTAATTAATTGAACACAAGGACAGTTTTATCAATACCTTACCCTATTTTAAGAGGGTTGGCATTATAGCATCTTAAAAGTGTCATCCTCATTTTACCCAGAAGATGAAAAACAGCTTCTGTATAATTCTAATTCTTCACAGTGAATTGCATGGACTGGGAAAATTTAGCCAGTAAAGTGGCTTACTATTAACTAATGATGAGTTTAGTTTCCAAAATTAGTAGGAATTTTCGTGTGTGCCACACCATCCGATTTTTATGGAGATTTTTCATGTATTTCCTTTATTTTCCATATATCCATACAGGTAACAAACCTAGGATGTGGAAATGGTCCCTTTGAAAATAGATATATCAAGATACATATACAAATTTACATGAGTCACATAATCAAAGTCACTTACATTAATCAATTAACATAAATAATAATATAAAGTAAAAAATTTAATTAGATTTTAATTAATAAACATGAATTAAAAATAACTTACTCTAATACTTAAATTAATACAATTTTATTTAAATTACCTATATTAAATTAATTAAATGCATTACAAATTTACACACTTATGACCACTTATGTTGACAATATTCATTCATGGAATAAAAAGAATGATGATATAAAACCTCTTTAATGCAGATTTAAAACTCTCACATCAGTAGTCAACGTTTTTATTGTTCGAGGAAGATGATTAAAAACTTTAATACCTGATATGTACACACCTTTATTGTATTTTTTTAGGTTAACTGCAGGCAAATATAAATTATTTAGGGCTCTAGTTTTGTATTTGTGAATCTCATTGTTAAAATTAAATAAATGTTTATTATTAATTGTGTATAAAAGTAATGTATATATATATCGATATTGACAGTGTCATTATATAAGAGACTGAGAAATAAAGTGGCCGGAGCATGAAACCAACTGTGCACATCGCTCTAGTTTGATGACAAGAATGTGCAGAACTTTATCTTCATTTTGCCATATATCTTCATGACATTATGCTTATGTAGAAGGACAACTTCATTTTACCTGATCAACTGCAGTCCCTGAATAGCTTCAGTAGCTAACAATTTTCTTTATAGAATTAGATTTTGGGTTATCGCAGTGGTGACTATGTAGAATACTGTACTCTGAGATGTGACACTGCATAGTTCAGCAGAATTTTACTTGTGTTTCAGAGGAACACTTGTAAATCTCAGCCAAGCTTCACAGTTGCAGAAGATTGTGCTCTTCTTACCATTATATTGGTTATACTCCCATTAATTTGCAATACATACAATGAAATTCCTTCTGTTAAGACCATTATAATATTGCTACTTTGCCAAGAAGGATTTCTTAACCTAACTTATATATTTATACATTTCCAGTAAACTTTATACTTGTTCAGGATCGGGTTCTTCACTGTGGGACATATGCTAAACAAAGCCTTATTTGAGTAGAATTTCACAGAATACTAAATTTCCCTTGCTATTTATGCTAGAAATCTACCCCTTATACACATAGTGCTAAATGAAGGGCCGAAAATAAAAGTTGCCTGCCAAGAAGGTTTGCAAGCATGTCATAAGATTGCAGACATATGAAGGACCACAGGCAGTTGAAAATATAGATTCAGACACAAAGAAGCAGATTTTAAAGGTACTGATGATGGTGTATAACACTGAAAATTACTGAGGTTTTGGACTTTGTCCATCATCCAGTATTCTAAAAACTAGAGAAAACAGCGTTTCAGAAACTTGATCTGTTTCCATCGTCAGGTGAGGGGGAGACGCCTACTCTGTTGGGTCCCTTAGAAAGAGCTAACCTCAATCTATTCTACATAATACAGTGATTTATTACTATAGGATTCTGACGATGGTGTATAACACACTGATATGTTGGGATTTTGGACTTTATCCATCGTCCTGGTTTTTAAGATAACGAATAAAAACACGACGTTTCGGAAACTGGATCTGTTTCCGTCCTCAGGTGAAGGAAAACACCTATTCAGTTGGGTCCCAATCCAGTGGATTGAGGCTAGCTCTTTCTAAGGGACCCAACTGAATAGGTATTTTCCTTCACCTGAGGACGGAAACAGATCCAGTTTCCGAAACGTCGTGTTTTTATTTGTTATCTTAAAAACCAGGACGATGGATAAAGTCCAAAATCCCAACATATCAGTGTGTTATACACCATCGTCAGAATCCTATAGTAACNAGATTCAGTTTTCAAAACGTTATGTTCTCTGGTTATTAGAATACCGGGCAATGGACAAAGTCCCAAAACCCAGTAATTCTGAAAAACAAAGAAGTATGATAATCTGAAGAAGTTTTTAGAAAGAGAGATATTCAGCACCTAAATGAAAATATGATCGACTCTGATAGAAAGATGGACAGAAAGGTTATATTTACATTGTGAATATAGTGTATTGTGTATTTTACTCCAATGTATTGAGCTGTTACTATGTTGGACACTCAGATCATCACAGAGTCTGTCCTCTTGCAGAAGCATGTTTTAAAATAACTTTGTAATAGTCATCACCCAAATGAGAAAATCTGACAAGGAACAGACACTCTATGTGTAGACATATGTTCACATTCCAGATATTTAAATTGTAACAGAAATGGACATGGAATTTATGTCCATGTATGTTGAAATAAGATTGCAGGCCACAAAATTTACTATTGTTTGTTTCAGCTATACTTGCCATATACTTGACGAATGTGCTCCTGTATAATGATGATGACGCTACTGTTATTTATCATGTATTTGCAATGCTCTGCTACTTCTTCCCGCTCTTTGGAGCTATGTTGGCAGATACTTTCCTTGGAAAATTCAGGTAAGTCTTCATTTTAAAAATACATAATACTCTCTGGACTGTTTGAAATATATGATCTTTTTTATGGTGTATGATACAGCTGATATTCATTTCAATACAACATATCAAAAATAATAAAAATATCAATGTTTGACAAAATATTTACCAAAAAAATTACCTGTGTCTTGCAAGTAACAGATATTAAAAAACGTTTGGTTTTATTGTTACATATTGTAGTTATAATGTCAATAAATATCGTTTTTTGTTCTGAAATCATTTTCAACTACACAGCATTCTTAATGTGAATGCCAGTAGCCCACCTTTGTTATAATAGAATTCAAAGAGGATAGTACATTCTGTGGATGTGAGTAGTTCACACATAGACGAAAGGATACACCACATAAAAATTTAAGGGATACAGTAAATAATTATATGCTTACAACATCTCTAAATGTTTATGATCTTGGTTGTTATTTCTAAATCCAATAAAGAACTTCAATCTTTTTTATTAGTGGTTGCTATACATTTATTATATATTAGTTCTAAGTTTCCTATTTGATGACAGTCTCAGAACCGAGCCTGTGTAGTGTTGACGTATTGTGCATTATGCAATTTAAAAACAAATATTTTGTTGAAGTGTTGTGAATTTTTTCTAGAACAATCTTCTACGTCTCCATTGTTTATGCCATTGGGAACATTGTAATAGCATTTGCTTCTACAACAGGGGCAATTGAATTGCCTGCCAGGTAAACATTCTCTCTTATTTTATTTTTATTTTTATTTTATCTTTTATCCATTCTTATCACAGATTACAATAATCATGATAAACATTTTGAAGTATAATCTAAAATATTCATTTTCTTCCTGCTGCATATTATACTTGTGTATAAATATTTATAAACCTGAGTAGTAATTTGGATATTGTCCACTGTCTTTGATTTTCCCTAACACTACATTTCAGAAATGTAAGGTTTGGGACAAGCAACTTCTAACTGCTTGAACAGAGTAGAAAATCTTCTCTGCTCTAACTCCTGATAGTGAGACACACAGTTTTCAGAATGAATTGTTTTGAAAAAAGTAAGATGACGAACAGTGTCCAAAAGGCTAATCAAATTGATTGCCATGCATGAATATCAGAAACCTTTAGACTAAGCTATGTAGGTAAGTCAATAAAGAAGTTACAAATGGATATTAGAACTTAAACAAATAAGAGTACTGATTTGAAAAATGGTTTTATTTCTCAACATAATCTCCCTGTACATTGAGGCACTTGTTCCATCATTTCACAAGCCCCTGAAAACCAGCAGCATAAAATTCTTTGGGCTCCTGTCGGAACCATGCCGTGAGTTTCCTTTCTACAGCTTCGTCATCGGGAAAATGTTCAGCCGAAAGATGATGTTTAAGAGGGCCTAACAAATGGAAGTCACATGACAGGTTAGGTTTTCACAAAGTCTGTGCAGGATGGGCGCTGTGCATGTTGACCCCACAGCACAAAATGCAAAGAATGGGTCTGGTGTTACAGCATCTGAATCGCTACCACAATGAAGGACATGATATGCTAGCCCGAATTGTCACAGGTGATGAGTCTTGCTCCAAGTGACTTCCGTTTGTTCGGCCCTCTTACACATCATCTGTGAAGCTGTAGAAAGGGAAGTCACCGCCTGGTTCCAACATCAGCCCAAAGAATTTTATGCTGCTGGTTTTCAGGTGCTTCTGAAACAATGGGAAAAGTGCCTCAATGTACAGGGAGATTATGTTGAGAAATAAAAGCATTTTTTCAAATCAGTACTCTTATTTGTTTAAGTTCTAATATCCATTTGTAATAATATCCATTTGTAACTTAACTTTTTGACCTACTCTCCTAATAAATTAAACAAAGTTTACCCATCACACAAAACAAGTGATACTAATATTTATACCTCATTGATATTTCTTATTCCACTGCATGTTTTTCAGTTCTAGTGTACCATTTTCAGGTGGATAATCTGTGCACAGACTGCAATGATTACAGCTATTTTAAATATGTACCTTTCAATATTCAGTATATCCTGTTTAACATTAGACCGTGAGATTTGTGGTTTTCACTGCAGTGACTGTGAAGAATACTCTCTTATTGGATGTAACATCATGCAATCTGGTAGACACTGATATTTAATGATACTTCAGAGAAACATGCTGCCTCCATCTGATAAAAGCTGTCAGTATGATTTCTAAAAACATCTAATGAATTCAGCACAATATTGTAAAATTACTGTATGAAATTACACACCCTTATGGGTTTAGATCATACATATGTGGCCAAATGAAATTTTATAATACCAAGATCGATCCACTTGGCATTTTTAATAATAATTTTAACAGCTTTTTTACAAATGATAATCAGAAGTTGTTTCAGGTCAAATAAAATATAAAAACATATTTTGCAGCTAATGGAAACCATTATGATGTTAAATTAGATACCAGGCATATTTGGTATTTAAGGACTGCACTGAAACATGTAGCCTGTTAGTAAAATTATTATTAATGAAATAAGGTTATATTGATGTAAGAGTGATGGCATTTGGGATCTTCACATTGAGTTGTTAAATTCCAGTGATGGATGATGCCAGAAGAAAAGCCTTAAAAAGTCTGAGAGATGGAATCATAAAATTTGCATTTAAATCCTTGATAATATGCAGCTTTTATTGATACAATGTTGTGGGAAATTGAATACAATAATATATTCATCTTACAAAGGGTATATTTACCTTTTGGTCTCATTACAATAACTTACATACTCATGGAGTAGAATCCTTCTTGAGCAGCCACCAGTTGTGCATCCACACAGGAACTCCCCAACATTTTATATATCCTGAAGGTTCATTACCATGTTCACAAGAGCCCTCCACTGGTCCCTAGCCTGAGACAGACAAATCCAGCCCATACCACCCCATCCTATATCTCTAAGATTCATTTCAATATTGTCTACCTACCTACCAGTATGTCTCGGTCTTCCTAGTGGTCTCTTTCCTTCTGGCTTTCCCACCAATAGTCTATATGCATTAATTTTGTACCCCCATTCATGCTACATGCCCTCCCCTTCTCATCATTCTTGACTTGATCATTCTCATTATACTTGGCAGAGAGTATAAGTTATGATGCTCCTTTTATACAATTATATCCAACAACCTGTCACTTCATCAGTCTTTGGTCCAAATATTATTCTCAGCACCCTGTTCTTGAACACCCTCAATCCATGTTCCTCCCTTAATGTCAGAGACCAGGTTTCATACACAAACAGAACCACAGGCAAAAATTATGGTTTTGTATATTCTAATTTTTATGTTTGTAGACAGCAGATGAGAAGACAAAAGGTTCTGGACTGAATGGTAGCAAGCATTACCTGAATTCAGTCTCCTCTTAATTTCCTCCTGAATCAAGTTTTGATTTGTTACAGTCATTCCCAAATATCTGAACTGTGCCACATTTTCAAAATATCTGTTACCTATTTTTACTTATTACAATAACAAATGAAACAAAAGCTGTGTTTTTAATGGTAGAGATCAGAAACAATTCTACAGATATTGTACAAACATTTTTTGAAGACTTTCAATGTAGCAACATGGTGACAGCAGGACTTGTAAAGATTAGGGTTATAAAGAAATGGAAGGCAGTCCAATTAGTCTGAGTGTCACCTGATGTACTAGTGTAATTTTTCCTTCAGTATCTTACAGTGCACTCTGTATTTCATCTGCAGGGAGCTTAGTATAGTTGGGTTACTTCTGATTGCCATTGGCACGGGTGGAATCAAGCCATGCGTATCAGCATTTGGTGGTGATCAGTTTAAGTTGCCACAACAGGAGAAGCAACTGCAACAGTTCTTTTCCTTGTTCTACTTTGCCATAAACTCCGGCAGCCTCATTTCAACATTTCTCACCCCAGTTCTCAGGGAAGATGTTAAATGCTTAGATCAAGATACATGTTATCCACTGGCTTTTGGAGTACCAGCAGTTCTCATGATATTGTCTGTCTGTAAGTACAAAGAGTTAGGAAATATTTATTCCTGAATTCAATACAGAATACTTGCAAATACTCTGTGTAAGTTTACACTGGTGTAAGAGTTACAGTCATCATCATTATTACGAGGAGCATTCCGTATATAATGCCTCCATTTTTTTTAATGAAAACTAAAACAGATACAGAAAGCATAATAATGCAGTTAAATAGAGCAAGATTTCAGCTACTTACAATTATTTTTCCACATAATCACCACCATTCATTATGCACATTTGCCAGCGATGAACAAGAGCCTGTATGCTGCACCTGTAGAAGTCTGCGCCAGCAGAGGCTAGCCACTTTCTTACAGTTGCAATGACAGTATCATTGTCTGGAAAATGTTGCCCACGTAGTCCATCTTTCATAGGCCCAAAGAGAGGGAAGTTTGAAGGTGCTAAATCGGGGCTGTACAGTGGATGTGGTAGGACAGTCCAGCCAAACTTTGCAATGTGCGCAGTGGTTGCCAAACTGGTATGGGGTCTAGCGTTATCATGTTGCAAGCGAAAGCTTGTCTGCTTCCCTGCCCTGACTCAGGAAATACGGGCTTTCAGTTTAGTCACCATCGTCCTGTAGCATTCAGAATTGACAGTCTCATCAGGCTCCAGGAAATCCAACAAAATCACACCCCACCTATCCCAAAAGACCGTGCACATCACTTTACCTGCCAATGGCTGTGTCTTGAACTTCTTTTTTCTTGGGGAATCTGGATGTCACCACTCCATGGACTGTTTTTTGGATTCTGGCTCATAGTGGTGACACCACGTCTCATCTCCTGTGACGATGCTGTCCAGAAACTTGTCACCTTCAGCCTCAAACTGGTGCAACAGGTCCTGACAGACTTTCATTTGATGAGTTTTGTGGTCCTGTGTAAGCATCCACGGGATCCACCTGGAACAAACTTTGTGATAATCCAGCTTCCCCAACATCGTTTCCAATGCATTACAGCCGATATTAAGCCATGCACACAGTTCTCTGGTCATTATCTGCCGATCTGTATAGATGAGCTGATCGAGGTGCTGTTCATTGTGAGGAGTGACGTCCAAGGCGTGGTTTCTCGTGCACTTCACTTTCACCACTGTTGAAACGCACTACTCACCACCTCGCTGTGCTGACATCCATTGTATTGTCTCTGCGCACCTTTAGCAAGTGTTGATGGATGTCAATGGGTGCAATTTGTTCGGCATTAAGAAATTCAGTAACACATCTCTGTTTCGTATGCACTTCTATGTCAGACGCCATTTTGGTAGACTGATCTTCTGTCGCTATCTGTCACACAACAACCAAACAAACAGTACATTTCCGGGAAGGTTCAACATTTACTACAACACCACCAACATCCAGCTCAGATGTTACAGATTAACACAAAAAATGGGAGGCATTATACATGGAGTGACCTTCGTAGAATTTAATTTTTATTTGATTTATTTCATTCTGCTCTGTCACACTAACAATATTACAGCGACTGTGACAGTCACACTGGACGGAATTGTTTTATCATTTGTAGTAATTCTTATATTAACAAAGAATTTGTAATCTGGATTTTCGTTGTATTCTTTTAATATATTACTATTCCTTAATGTTTATTACCTTTTTCCCCTTCTTAAAATAGAAATGTCATATTTATGAAGTGTCTGAGGCTGCTGTCATTTATTTTAGACCAGACCATTCTCAGCAGAATATGCTGTAGATTTGGTTAAGTCATCTTAATATTAACTTGCTAATAAGTGGGAAAATTCTATAAATTCCATTCCTAATTGCTTAGGTACACAAGAAGATTAAGTTGGACTAAATTATCTTGTGATATACAGAAAATCTTTTAAAAGCAGGAGCAGCTCAAGCTCACATACACCATTTTACTCATATACTTCAATAATGCATGTCAAATACATGTCTGATACAGTATTGAATCAGTCATTGTCCAGACTAGGGATGAAGAACCTTTCTCAGCTTGTTTGTTTAAATAGAAAAGTTTCTTTTATGCCATTTAAGATTATTTAACCCCTTTAACTCCTGTCAGACAGGAAGAGTCAAGACAGATTTTATTTTGATGTTTTCAAAATATTAATGGTTAATGGTTTATTTATATTCAATAAGATCTTTACAATGTTGTGAGAACAACCGTCAGATATAGAAACAGTCAGATAAAAAATTAACTATAATCTAATAGCATTTCTGATTTAATATTACTGTAGTAGACTAAATTCATTCTTAAATAAATCTTATATTTCAGTGTTGTACTTAACTGTAATTTGTATTTTGCATAACATACTTACATGATAACATACTCTGTTTTATATGAATATCTTTGGTGTGAAATTTTTTAATATCACAGTGAAATATTTTCTCCTCTTTAGTAATATTTGTGGCTGGCAAGAGACTTTACATTATTAAGAAACCAGAAGGAAATGTGGTGCTGGATGTCTGTAAGTGCATTGGAGTAAGTTTCTATTCAGAGCTTTGTTTCATGAATGAGTAAATGTATGAATGACTGAATCAATTTTATTCTATAGTCTGTCACTTAACACTGTACAGTCTGAGCTACTGGCAGTGTTGTTAAGTAAAGCATAAATAAATGTATTCCATTTATTATATACTGCTCTGGTGCTGCATTGTAATTTTCTGATGCATAAAATGATATGAACTGTTGCCGAAGAATAAAACAATGATTGATATAGACTGCTTTTGTGTTATAAGGCTGGTTATTGTCACCTAGAAAGTAGACCAGAGATGGAAAGGAACAGGAGAAATGAATAACTGTATAAAAATGTTTTATATATGAGGCTATTTATGAAGCCTGTATGATATATTGTCAGAATGAAATCATGTAAAAAAATCAAATTCTTTTCACGTGACCCCTTTTATTCAATTTCAGCATGCATTGGTAAGGAGGAGAAAACTAAAGAAAATTGAAAAACGTGATCATTGGCTGGAATATGCTGATGATACATATGATAAAACTCTGATTGAAGATACCAAAGCCACATTACGGGTTCTCTTCCTCTACCTCCCTCTTCCATTTTTCTGGGCTCTCTTTGATCAACAGGTGAGTGTGTTAGTATAATATATGTGACTGCCTGCCAACTCTTGCTTGCTGTCTGCTTCTTTATAATGTGATAATGGTAATTTAGTTGCTTTGTATGAATGTGACCAAAATGTTGAATTGGATGCACAGTCTCTTTATATCTAAGGGACACATTGTCAATGATTCTTTATCTGTGATTAACAGAATCATTGCTAGGCATTTAAATTCAAAGGTTAACTGACATAAGCATTTTAGTTGAACAAACTAGCACTTTTATAGAATGTAAATGAAAATGAGCACATTTTTTTCAATTCTCACCACAAGCTGAGTTGAACCTCCTGTAGGTTGAAACAGTCGTGCAATGGTAGTCTGTGACATAGTTTCAATATCTGAATGTACATAAATTTAAAATATGCAGTTAACAGTAGTACTTGTTAATATTTACATTTACTACTTTTCCACACACACAGACATGCGTGCATGTGCACGCACACACACAGATATATGCATAGCATATTCTACCATTATTTATTATGCTTTATTCACAGAAATTGAATTACACGTATGTATCTGGAAGCAACCTCTAGGCACACAAGGAAAGTGTGTAGGAACAGCAATGGTAACTGTAGATAGATATATGTGGGCTGTGAATCATACATCTTCGTGTTAAATATTAACAGATACTGATGATAAAGAGTTCTTAAAATACTGTTAATCTTATTGCTCGATCTGAGTTGACATTCTTTATTAAATTAATTAACCTGCCTGAAGAATTTTTATGTAAAAATGCACATCATTACATTACCAGTTCAGTATTTCTTTCGTTGTACACTTTGTGTAGAATAAGATTTTATTTTAGAAAGAAGGCAACTTATGTGCAATTTGATGTTCATAGACTGTTGAATTTTAAGATTATGGTTATCAGGAATGTGATGTCATATAACCTTGAAGTTTGGTATCAGTGTTTCAGAGGAATATTGCCTCGGTATTTTACCCTTAAGATGGAGGCAATACATTCCTCCTAAACGTTTGTAACTACCCACCATCCTACATAATTCACATTCCATAAGATTAAAATGTCTGTGTCAGGTGGGTCCCTTGTCACCACATCCAATATGCTTCTCTCAAGGTTAAGTTCATATACAGATTCAATTATTAGGGATCATCATTGTTAGTTTCAACATACCAGATCAACTACTGATAAGATTCTTTGCATTCGTCAGATACTGCAGAAGAAATGCAAGTACAATCAAAGAAAGCTTATGATTCAGTTCAGAGGGAAGTATTGTACAATATTCTTATGGAGTTTGGGATACCCATGAAACTAGTTAGGCTGATTAAAATGTGTTTAAATGAAACAAATGGTGAAGTCCGTACAGGTAAACATTTGTCTGACAATTTCCTTATGCAGAATGATCTAAGAGATGGAGATGCTTTATTGCCACTGCTTTTCAACTTTGCTTCAGAATATGCCATTAGGAAGGTCCAAGAAAACAAGGTTGGTTTGAAATTAAATGGGACACATCAGCTGTTGTTCTATGTTGATGATGTGAATCTACTGGGTGATAATATAGGTACCATAAAGGGAAACACACAAACTTTCATTTGTGCTAGTAAGGAGGTTGGTTTAGAAGTAAACACAGAGAAAACTAAGTATATGTTGCTGTCTCATCAGCAAAATACAGGGCAAAAGCATGACATAAAGGTAGGTAAAATGTGCACAGTTCAGATATTTGGGAATGACAATAACAAATGAAAACATGATTAAGGAGGAAATTAAGAGGAAATTAAGAGGAAATTGAACTGGGGTAATGCTCACTACCATTCAGTCCAGAACCTTTTGGTCTTCTCATCTGCTGTCCGAAAACATAAAAATTAGAATATACAAAACTATAATTTTTCCTGTGGTTCTGTATGGATGTGAAACTTGGTCTCTGACATTAAGGGAGGGACGTAGACTGAAGGTGTCCAAGAACAGGGTGTTGAGGAGAATATTTGGACCAAAGAGAGATGAAGTGACAGAAAGTTGGAGAAATCTATATAATGAGGAGCTTCATAACTTGTACTCTTCTCCAAATATAATTAGAATGATCAAGTCAAGGAGTATGAGGTGGGCAGGGCATGTAGCATGAATGGGCAGAAGAGGAATGCGTATAGTATATTGGTGGGAAAGTCAGATGGAAAGAGATCACTAGGTAGACCAAGGCATAGGAGGGTGGACAATATTAAAATGGATCTTAGAGAGATAGAATGGGATGATATGGATTGGATTTATCTGGCTCAGGATAGGAACAACTATGGGCAATACTCAGAAATTTGCGGAGCAAACCACGGCTTTATGCCAATTGTAATTGAAAGAGTTAACACCAATAAATTCATCAACTGAATCTCAAGCGTAAGAGAATCATCAGATGACTGAAAGCAAGTAGTGGTCTCTTAAATCATCAAGTAGTAAATTAGCAACTACTTCTGATGAAAGGGTTAGTTAATAAACCTGTGGGTTCCATAAATTGCTGGGACTTTCTTGAGTGGCTGACCAACTGGCAGCTTCTCAAGAAGGGTTCAACTACATGAGTGACTGAGTGAGTGAGTGAGTGATAAGATTAAAATCTGAGAGCTATTTATGACTCTCCAGATGTATTTATATTTCTGTTCATTAAATTAAAATGTAGGGATATCGTTGCATTATTGTGCAGTGTCTGAGTATTATTCCTTATTTGTTTCGCCTGCTGATTTGAAAAGTAATAACGTTTTGGAATCAACTATATGCATATTGTCTGGATTTGGGTTTACTGTGTTTTACCATTTCTATTTTAGGGATCTCGCTGGACATTCCAAGCCACCAGAATGACTGGGGTACTGGGTAGCTGGTCATTGAAACCTGATCAGTTGCAAGTTGTGAATCCTCTACTCATTCTCATATTCATACCTCTGTTTGAAACAGTGTTGTACCCAATTCTAGCAAAATGCAATATAAAGCGACCATTGCAGAAGTTAGGGATTGGTGGTGTCTTGGCTGCTGTAGCTTTCGTGATTTCAGCCATTGTTGAACTGCAATTAGAGGTATGTCTTCTGAAAATAACCATACTATATATACATCATAGTATTTTAGTGTTATAATCCAAATTATAACCCAAACCCATACACTGTTCTGTGTAACAAAACAAATTTTCTCTCCTTTAAAGGAAAAAGGTGATTCTAATAAATATGAATATAAATGAAAATGGGGGCATGCGGTAGCGTAGTTGGTTGAGGGGCTATGCTACAAGCTGGAAGGTTGCGTGTTCAAATCCAGATGAGGTCATTGAATTTTTTTCAGTTGACCTAATCCTTCCAGCCGCACTATGGCCCTGGGGTCGACTAAGCCTCTGACAGAAATGAATACCAGGAATTTTAAATAATTTTCCTCAGGAGTCAGGCGTGGCTGGCATAAGTCTGACAACCTTACTGCCATCTTTGAGCCAATTATCTAGATAATCTGGGGCCCTCAATGTCTCACAACCCTTTGGGTTTGGACAGTGATAGTTTTACTTTTTTACTTACTTTTATAAACGAAAATAAGTCTGAGCTTGAAGATTTTGTATCATCATCCTTTTTGAAGGAAATAAATCAAAACTTAACATACTACAAGCCATAAAATAGCCAGCCAGATATGACATGGAAAATTTTCAAACCAATTATAGTCATTTGGAATTTTCAGTTCCATAAACTTACCAGCAAGATTCAGGGAACTTCAATGTGCAGTAAAATTACATCCAAACTGATATGGTTCTTTTATCATCATACATGCATAATTATATGTATATTCAACTCCAGTGCTGATATTGTGGTTATGTATTATTAGAGGTTCACATTAAGACATTCAATTATCAGAGCCATTATTTTTTATTTGTAAAATATATGAATCTTTATGGGCTAAGAATGGATTCATTTTTATGAATCTGTATGTTTAAAATATGACCCATAAGAGTTTGGAACTCCTGTAGATCTCTATAAGAAAATCATAGTTCTGTACAGTGAAACCAAAGCCAGTTGAAGATTTATTAAATGTGTAAATATCTCCTATTCCACATTAGCATTGTCAACAATATATTTACGTGTATATCTGCAATGCTTGGATATTTAGGCTATGAACAGAGATGCAAAGTATCCTGGAACATGTATGTGAAGTCTAAAACAGAGTACACTTTCATTTTTCTTTTAATTTTGATTCCATCTTGTCTCACTTTTATTTTGAGACCTCTATTAATATCCTTTATTAGCTATTCTAGCAGTGAGCTTAAAGTAATGTAGGAATTACATTCAGCTGATACAAGGCAATGCTAATCTTCCCTGATGCATTTTGATGTAGGATCCCAAAACCAAAATTCATGAAATTTTGCAAAATGGTTACAGAGCTGGAACATGGATAGAAAGTGGTATCCAAAATATGTTTTCTCTGTGCATATAATGCATAAATATTGGTACAGATACTGTTCAGGCTGCTTTTTCCCTTGCTTAAAGTGTTAGTTCCTCAGTTATGTAATTAATTTTGTTTTTGCAGGATACATATGCAGTTCTACCAGAGGCTGGCCAGGCTCAACTCAGAATTTTTAATGGATTGAACTGTAGAGTTCCAATTGACATTTCTGGAGTAGATGGAAGTACAATTGAACCTCTGAGCTTCTGGAAGGCTCCAACCCTGTCAGTTAATGATGTGAATACGTACAGTATCAGTGTTAATAGAGATTCAACCTGTGAAGAATACCCTGCATTTGAGGGATCTGTAGAAGTGACAGAAAAGCAGGTAACATTCAATGAATTGTGGTATGATTATGGTATAAAACTTACATTATTATTGATTTACCTTTGGATGACAAGAATCATGTGTGTGTATATGCGTGCATGTGTGCAGGGGTCCATGTGCATGTGCGCAACATCAAAAAGTGATGAAAATATATTAAAACATTTTACCTTGATTTGAATTGATTGATAACTAATTGTCATAGAGAAATGGGAAGCAGTATGCATATTTCTGATAATATTAATGGCAAAATTGGAAGGAAATTACTAAAAGAGTACTTCCCAAGTGCTTTAATGTTTCTTCATATCGTCTTTTTCTTTGATCATTTGAAGTAAACTGTGAAAGGAAGTTTTAGTTATAATGAAACAATAAAATATTAGCAGACCAACAAATTGCTTATTAAATGTCTGTTAACAGTGACAGAAGTGATGGAAGATATGTTAAGCCAGATTAAACATACAGCATTTGAAAGAAAACATAGTCAGAATACCATAAAATAAAATATTCTGTCCCATGAAAGAGCAGTCACCATAATTTTTAGCAGACACATATAGGAGCAAATTTAAGGAAGAAATCTTAATATTCAGTGTGATATAAGGTATTTATGCATTTCATATACAAAAACTGAACACGGCACACTCTGCACTATGACTCAGTAAAGGTTTATATAACATTAAAAAATCCAGCTGGCTAAATATAATATTCATTTTTTGTTTTTGTTAGTGTAATGTTAATTGTTTTGGTCAGAAAATCCCAAATACAGTGGGTGCTGCTTATTGTGATCACTCCAGTACACAGCTTAATTGATAACAGTAACGGATGAAACAAGAATGCAGCTTCTCAGTGGTTTACTGATGCAAAGAGGAATTGTGTGCACAAAAATGTGGAAGTGGATAGAAAGAAATAAAATTAAACAATTTAAAATACTTTAAACTGACTGTACACTATTTCTTTGAGAAAGTCGTCAGTAAAAGTGAACTGTCATAATGTTTCTGGAAATCCATATGCGCCATTACAAAGAAATAAAAAATAATAAAGCCTAGAATTAGGTCATTAGGTCATTAATAAAACGTTCAGGCTCATGTCAGAACTTGAGAAGAGACCAGGATGTAACTTAACCATGTTCATGCACATGCATGAAGTAAAAAGTGATAATAAAAACTGAAGCGCTAATTAAAATAATCATAGTTCTTTTATGCATTAATATATTTCTAACTGGAACTTCATAAAAGTGATAATACTATGTGAACGATAACATTGTGATTACAACAGGCAACATCCTTTTTTCTTTTCATTTGGTAATTCCATTAGTAATATGAAAAGGAAACTAAAAAAAATTATTTAGAGTATAAAGTATGAGATGTACGTAATAATTTCATAGACAATAAGTATGTTCCATATGGAATTTCTGATAGATGTTGCTCTGATTGTGGTTTCCACAGTGCTGCATTTTTTCGATGATGGCCTCACAGCTTACATAAACTGCTTAACTCACACACGTTGTCTGCTGCTGTATTGGTTTTGCAACAGTATAGTGCAGTCAGTATAGTGACTGCCTACGGGCTGGACGACTGAGTGGTCAGAGTTCGAGTTCCAATAGAGTCAAGAATTTTTCCATCTCCATGTCGTCCAGACCGGCTCTGGGGCCCACCCAGGCTCATATCGCATGGGTACCTTGGGTTCTCTCCCTGGGGGCAAAGTGGCCAGGGCGTGAAACCGGCCACTCACTTCAAACTAGTGCCAAGGTCAAGAAAACATGGATCTATACATTCACTCCCCCATATATCTTCATGGCATAGTGCTTAATTAGTTAAGCACAGGAACGTTACATGAACCTTTACCGTTTACATAAGCTCCTCTGTCCATGTGTGCAGATGTAGTTATTTTAATTATGTTGCATTTATTTAACAACATTTTCAATTGCGTAGGTTATGCAGTGTTGAATGTTATGACCGTTAATAAATCATGAATGGGGAAGGATGTGGGAGGAAGTGATCTTTGCATTTGCCTTGTGAAACTGTTGAAATATGTGAGAAACTTCGAAAAACATAAGTCAGGATGGCCAGTCCCTGGACCGAGTTTTGAACCTGGGACACCCTGAATACAAAGCAAGAGTGCTAACCACTCAACTTGACATTTGTTGCGTATAAATGTAACAGTTTTTCTCATACTAATGAATTGTTATTGTTTTGTGGAAATTGTTTAATCTGCACATAACACAGTAACAAATTACATTATGGTTTTTACAGTTCACTGTTAGAATGGGTAAATGTGATGCAGTGCTTCTTTTAAATGCACTGTTAAAGGTCTTCTCAGTCAGCAGGCCAAGTCATAGTATGAAGAGTATGTTCAATGGAGGTTTTTAACAACAAATATTTCTGATACACTTTTCAAATTTGTTATCCCCAACATTTTGTGTTCTGGAGCTTAGCACTCCTGACTGAAATCTACAGTTGAATATATTCCTTGGACTATATTTATTTAATTATGAATAATTTTTTGGTATGCGCTTCTTTTAACTTATGTTGAATACTGCAAAATGAAACTTTTTTTAATTTCAGGCAACATCATACTTCATAACATATGATGAACAGAATAGTACAACGGTTATTCGTCTAGAAACTTCTTCATCACCATTTGATACCATTGATAAGTCTAAGTCAGGAGATCCATTACTAAGGTACAGTTTTCTTTTTAGTGATTTTGAAATCAGTTTTCAGTGAGAAAGTTCTCTATGTGACTAAAATATTGGTCTGACATTTGTCTGCTTGCTCCCTGCTCCACTCTGCTTTCTTGCTTGGCTTGTTCGTTGACCCAGAAAATGGAGGCAGTATGCAGCCCCAAAAATTCACTTGACTTTCAACAGACTATACAGCATCATATCCCAGAAGATATTATTCCAGAACACAGCTGTGCGAACATCAGATCCTACATGGTATTTGTCTGTCACCGTTGTGTGTTGTAAATGCTTATGTACTTTGTCCATTTCCCTTCCTTTCACTTTCCTGTTTTTAGGTATACATGTCAAAAGTTAAAGCATCAGCTGTTAAGTTCGTCACATCCAACCAGATGAATACATGCCTGCATGTAACAGCTTCAAAAGACAGAAATATTACTTAAGTAATTCTTGTTGTGGTAGACCTACATTAAGTTTTATTAAGCCATTTTGATTTTGATTTCATTTGATTTATTGTAAATGACACTGTACCACTACAAAAGGCCCAAATGAAATTTTACTTGTATCTCTTGATTCTTTGACAGATTTTGATTAAACTGGTATATATATATATATCACTTCAATTATACACATTTTGTCATAATAAAATTTCATTCACTCTTCTGTTTTTAAGACCCATATTATTAAAGGGCATAATTACATTATATAGGTATTTTATGATGATAAGTACTGGTGCGTGCTATCAGCTCCGTTCAGCCAACAAGGTCAGCCCTTGGTACCTGATACTTCCCCCATCTACCATAGGCATTGGAAACTACTTGGGTGGGAAACTTGCCTAATTTTGCTCAGAGGTCTCCTAGAGACATGAGGATATTTTACGTGCCGTAAATCTACGACACGGGACCCACAGCTTAAAGTCTCTCCCGGAGGACTTGTTCCCTGAATTTTTCCGCCCTTAAAAATTCCACGGGTTTGAACACGCATACCTTGAGTCATGAGGTGGGAACGTTACCCCTAGACTATGGAGTTACAAGTTATGTGTATAAGTGTTCAATAAATCCAATTACCAATCCAAATCCCACCTATAGTCACTCTATTACATGACAACACCATTGTGGCAACCATAAAAAACTACTGTCTGAATCCATGGAGCAGAGTCCTTGATACTTTAATAGTTACTCAGGCCGTCAAATAATTTCCCATTATTTATGGTACCCAAATGTTCACTATTGAGTCCACAGTAGCTCATTATTGGACCATGTCTAGAGAATCTTCCCAAGCAGAACATTCTGAAAAATGTTAGTTTCATTTAATGTGGGGGGTTGGTACCCTCCTGACCTACCACCTAGCAGGAGGCCCATCCTTTGTTGGTTTAATTACTGCATGGTCCTGAAAATACTATGCATGGTTGCAGACTTACAGACATCACCTTCACAAAAGTGTATCTGTATAATAGCTAATATTATATTTGAGTGGCAATCTATACATCAAAATAAATATTCTGCATGATTAATTGGACAATTTTTATAGGTTTACACAGTAAAATTCATTTGTCTTCATTCAACAAATTTACACATAGAATCAATAAGATTAACTATTTATAAATATTTAAGTGAGTCGTTAAAAAAATAATACATTTCTTCCAACTTCATCCATCATATCTGAAAATATGTACACATTAATTTTTGTTTGTTTCTTACAGGGTAATTTATAATTTCAAAGATAGACAGTCTAACCGTTACCTGAATTTTCAAGAAGTGGATGGTACAGAAAAAAAGGTTTACCTCCTTAATCTCACTAGTTATACAACAGAAACTGAAGAAATACCACCTGCTATGTAAGTGGAAGTGAATATTTCATGTAGCAAGGGTGTAACCATATTTCCCTTGCTGGAAAGTCTCTTAAATTGAACTATGACAATCAATCAGTTTGTCCCCACAGGAATGGGAAACCTGCTGACGGCTTGGAAGTCACCCCTGTCTCGACATGTGTCATTAGTCTGCATGACATACCGTCCTCCATTAGGTTTTTAGCATTAATGGTTGTCATGGAGACAGGATCATACACTTTGCCTGAGTCTGGTATCCTCTGCATGGTGCTATCATTTTCATTGCATCATCAGTTTACTTTAAATGTTATCTTCTGTTGAGCTAGGGAGATATCTTGGGGATTCAATCTGTGACTTGATGCTGAGCAAAACCTGCCCAGAGGGTTCTTGAACTAATTGCACTTGTCCCTTGAAACCTGAAAAGAAGGTTTAAGATAAGCATCTCCTTGTCAAACCAAATGCAGGGCTGGCACATCACATTAGACCTTGGCCATCTCGCTTTTCTATCAGTGGTCACTTAGAGGCTGTAACACAGAGCTACCTGGATGTTATAAAAAGTCTTGTCCTTGGAGGGGGGACAGTTGGAGTCAGATAAAGTTAGGCCCAGTCAGATGTAGAGGGATAGTTAAATACAGGGAGCTACAGTTAGTTACAGTTGAACGCAAGTGACTGCAGTTGGAGTCATAAACAGTGAGTAGTGGGCAGTCAGATTTTCAGTTCCTTAGTTGGAGAGTGATATAGCTACTAGAAGTGCACTGTTGAACAGAGAATTAGAAAGTATGATAGTCAAGAGCATTAGACAGTGACGACTGTGTAGTGACAGCCATTACAAGAGTTGGTGATATTGGGAGTTAAATTGATAATTACAATGGGAGAGATCCATGGGAAAAAGTTGAGTTTATGAAGTCATTTCAGTTATGAGAGAAGTGTGATCTGATAAAGAGCAAGTCTCACAGAGGACTAGTGTAACTTTGCAGACATAAATACCGACATACCAACATACACCACAGTCGTCGCATTCAAATAGTATAGTGATTCATCACTCCTGAAGTGTGTACTAAAGCAACCTGTATCCCTGAGGGAAAAATCTCCTGACTCTACCAATTTGACAGGGCAAATATATTATTAATGCCACTGGCAGCTGCGGGGATCCCAGAGGCTGGTATCTTTGGGACAGCTTCAAAGAGTGAGTAAAATGTAATAGAATGAAATATGACTACAGTGAATTCCAAAAGACTGCAGCTATATATTATCAAATGTGAATTTTATTAGAAATAGAAGAATTGAAAATGTATAATAAATTATGAAAAATATATTGTTTAACATGTAACATTACTATACACTTGAAAAAAAACAGGAATTACATATATCAGCAGTTGTCTGCAGTTTTTGCCGTCTTAACTCATAGCATAATACAAAACAAAGTTTTCCCTATTTATGATGTAAATGTCATACATTAGAGGTAAATTGTAATGTGTATCAAGAATATCTTGAACAGATGAAGTTCCAGAGCTTCAGACTAATCTGGTTGTGGTATCTTAATCCTACACTTTCATTTATTTTATTGTATGTGAGTGGGTCACAACTATGCTGTTACCTTATCTGTTATTAAAATTGTGTGAATATTTCAGCTACCATGTGTCATTAGCTGGTGACAATGGCACAGAATTTGCAGATCAAAATCTGGAACTTGGAGGAGTTTATACCCTAATTGTTCAAGAAAATAACAATGGAATTGTAAGTCAATTTAATTTTTCTTACAAAGCAACATTATAGTGACTTGTCATCTTTGTCTGCTTGCTAGAACAGTCGATTTTAATATGTCTAATTAAATTGGACTAAAATGTGTAGTTCGTAAAAAAGTATTTCCTCTTTAGCATTACTCAACATCATGAAGAGTAAGTGCACACAAAGGGAAATAAAGATGTATTTTATTATTGTAATGCAGAGAACCTGAGTCCAGATTTATGGACAAAGATACGCTGGTCCATTGGTTTACTGATATGCCTGCAATTCCCATGATTATGAGACTTCCATCATGGTCTAGCCCCCACATCAATTGCTTGAGTTATGGTATGTCATCCATTTCTCATCCCTCCAATATGTGCTACATATTTGTTGAGTACAGATTATAGAGCTCTATTATGTCTCCTGTTAATTCCTCCTTCTAAGGTTTAAATATTTTCTTCAACAGCCTGTTTTCAAACACCCTCAATCTATGCTATTTTTTAGGATGAGAGATCAAGTTTCACACCTATACAAAACCATGTTTTATATAATTTCAGCTATATACTTTTTTCAGGATGTCAGCCTGCATACTATAACTGAGCCTAACAGTATCCATATGTTGTGGCTGATCCCACAGTACTTTGTTATGACCATGGGAGAAGTGATGTTCTCTATCACTGGCTTGGAATTCTCCTTCACACAAGTAAGCATATTACATGGGTGCTGTTGCAAGAGAAGTTAATATTGAGTTGTACAGAATATATGGTTACTATTGTCCAGAAATACAACATTCTCTTTTAACTGCTAATGAAGACATTTACTGGTTATTAAAAAATTGACTACCAACAAAATACAAACATTAGCAAAAATGAAACATGTCAAAGAATATAAATAAAATTGAAGGCTACTATAATGTTTAGTAACAGTATACAGTAATTACCTATTTATCAGTTTAATCAATATGATGGATTTGGGATTCCTGTTTCCTGGGATGTAACACCATTTAGTCTGGTGAAAGTCAAATGCTTGCTGCTTGCTTCATGCTGGTTTCTTTCTTGGCTTACTTACTGACCAAGAAGATGGAGGCTGAATCTTCTCCAAATGTCTGTTGACTTTCGTAAAACTACACAACATTATATCCCAGAAGACAGAATTCTTCTTGGTTACCATGGTTTTGATCACAGAGAATTTGTATTTAGGCACCTTTTTTGTAGAACATAGTGTCAATTTTCAATTATCCGTCTCTTAGCATGTGTGTGAAGATCTAAAATGCAGATCTGTATGCAGCTGAGATCATGGCATATCCACAGACACACTGCCCATCCTCACAGTGATGCTGTGGCTCTTGCCATGAGAACATTTCAGTTGGATGGTGCAACATGTCCTTCACAAACTCAGAATAACGTTTATTTTTTATACATGTAAAATATTTTATAATTCTGCCTCAAAACATGGCCTCAGATTGTATATGTAGCGATGCTACTGTGAAAAGTGGTGCAAAAGAAAGCCTGTAGATTACCCTGAAATTGTGTATTCTTCTGAGAATGAGCATAGCCTATAGCCATACAGTATTAAAATTACTTTATAATTCAGTATATATTTTCCCAATTACTACCAAGACACACTGATTCTAAAGGTATTCTGTATGTACAGTATGTAAAAATAGAAAAAATTCTTAAAGAGAGAGAGAAAGAGAGTGCATGTGCACATGGGGTGTGTGTATGTGTGTGTGCGCACACGCATGCACATGCACACACACACACACACACACACACAACTGTGTTAAACAAGGGATTGCTGTATACATAAAATGAAGAAAGAAAACATACAATAGCAGGCATCAGAATACAAACCACTGCGGCACAAGAATTCTGGATACCCAAGAAAGAAATGGTGAAACCAGTTACAAATAAAAATTTAGGGACAGGCAGTTAAGCATAATTACTCATAGTTGATTATGATTAATTAAATGTTTACATTTTTGCAATTCATTTATATCTCAGATATTCAGTTTCTGTATGTTTCTTACTTATGTGGAATTTCCCGAAAGTTGATATTACATCATTCTATCTATTTGGGAGAACGATTTTGTTGATAATGCATAACTGATTTATATACATGTGACTGTTCAGTTCATAACACAGAAATAGTGTAATGCACTTCAATAATATTATATATAACATCCTTATAGTTCAGTCTTTCCTGTTAGTATTATGTACTCTTTTCAGTAGATCCATAATATCTAAGAGCTTCCAACAACTGATGCTCAGTGTATTAAGCAGAGTGAATAATATACTTGGAAGTTGTACTTCTTTTGGCTTATTTTGGACTTCACCCATCGTCCGGTATATAAAAGACAAAAGATGGGTGAAGTCCAAAATAAGCCAAAAGAAGTACAGTATACACCATCGTCAGAATCCTTTCAAGTCTATACTTGGAAGTTACCCTTTCTCCTTATGTTCCAGGCTCCTGTCAGCATGAAGTCTGTCCTGCAAGCAGGCTGGTTGCTTACTGTTGCATTTGGTAACCTCATTGTGGTCATCATAGCAGAAGCAAAATTTTTTGACAGTCAGGTACTCTTCTATGTTGTTTCAGTTTAATGGAATGAACCAAATGTATAAGTCACATAAAGTTGAGAAATCATATTGTCTCTTAATATTAATTTCCTCCCAAAATGTTCCGTATATTTGTAAAAAGAGATACCAAGCAAAACCAAAATATTAATCTTATGAAAACTGGTATCAAATGAATGTCATGTTTCATGAGGCTTCTGAGATTGTGTGCTTTACCTGCAAGGTCATTACCATGAGCTCAAAGGATTAGAGTTTTCTAAAACTCTTCGGTAGTGCAATGATAACAATATTTATACAAACTTAATTATTTACATCATACACAGAAATGTGTAAAAGAAAGTTGTCAAGAAAATTTATATGCCCTTTTGATTTGTAACTGACTTAATACTGTAGAAATCTCCTCTTGTGAGGTACACATACCCCCTGGCTGGGGATGAATATACCCCAGTCTCAGCTGTTGAAATGAAGGAAAGAGGGTGAGAAGAATGGAAGTGAATTGTCGTTTTTCTTTTTAGTTAAATTTTGTGTGTGTGTGTGTGTGTATGTGTGTGTGCATGTGTGTGTGCATGTGCAGGTGTGTACATTTTTTAGGGTTGTTTTTCGGTGTATTGTACAGATGTTGCTTTTTGGAGAAATAGGTTTACTGAAACAGTGATTATGAGCTCATGCCATACTGCTTTTGACTAATTTCAAAACATCTTCCTTACTCAATTTCCTCTGCCATAACAGGAGAATAATGGCATAAGACACATCTTCTGAAAATTTTAATTGTATATAATATGTCTGTTTTTGCTAATATTTATTATTATTTACTCTAGGCACATGAATTCTTCTTGTTTGCTGGTCTTATGATTGTGGATATGGTAATTTTTGCATTAATGGCTTTGAAGTACAAATATGTTGAAGTACCTGAAGAGGAAGATGAAGAAGAGGAAAGCAAGATCAGTGGATTAGCACTGAAAGAAACAAAATCCAGTGTAACAAATGGAATACAAAATAGCGCATTCAAGAATGATGAATAAGGCTGACATCGTTTGCATAACTGTAGAAAAATCTAAACAACCACAACTGTATATATTTTAATTAAATAGTGATTTTTTATAATCCAGAATATTAAAAGTATACTTTTCAGGAACAGCTGACAACATCAATGAGTACTGTGTGCAAGATGAGACAAAACTGTAGAATGAGTGGTGGTTTCATTTTATTGCTTATTTTATTCAATACAGTTTATAATATGATGTAAAATAAAATAATGAATGCAAAAAAGAATACAGATAAATATGTACAACATTTTAAATTAAAATTTTGTCTAAGTAGTTATAATTCAATTTTGTTTTAGCGCCTTTATCATAATAATTTTGTACTTCAGTCAGCTTCTATTCTAGTTACCTTCTGACATTTTAAACTGGGTTGAATTTGGAACATTTTATTTTAACCTTAATATAAGCCTACACCTTGAATTAAGGCCAAAATTATCATCTTTTGTTGTAGACATGCACATATCTTCGAATTACCATTTACACTTCGAAGAAAGCCGTATTTGATTTCGTAAAAGAAGCTAAAAAATTTGGCAGAAGTTGTTATTAAGTTGTGCACTGAATTAAATTACACATTTGATTCTGAAATAAAATAAAATTATCCTTCATGCTAGTTTATCACTATCATTAGTTATGCTTGACCTTTCTTCAGCTGTTCCTTGTTTTTAGCTTAAAGGCATTTTAAAATCCATTTCAATTGGACAAAGATGTATCTGTGCTTCAAGCATTTGTTGCTGAATGGTGAATATACTAATGTTGAAAGAGGAGTGATAATGTTCCAGCCTTGTGATAAAGCAGATGTCAGTTCCAGTGTATTTTGTGAAAAAGTTAATATTTGTGTCGTAATTGTTCTGTAATATTTCCAAATGAAATTTTTGGTACTTTGTAAATAATATGCTATTTAACAGCTGTGATCTGACAAACATGTGATCAAACATGATAGACTGTTCCAATATTTATATTGTAATGATTAGAGAACCGAACAGTATAAGATATGTAAAATTGTTATAGTATTCTTGCAGATGTTGTAAATAAAATGCAAAGTTAGAAATGTGAAAATGAAAAAGATATGAACATGTATGAGTTGCCATTGGAAAGTTCCCTTACTAGGTCAAAAAAGAAATACTGGCTTAACTTACTAATTTTGGCTGCCAGCGCCTTCAAAATAGTCTCCTTTAGAATGTATACAGCGATCCCATCATTTTTTCTGTGCTTCAAAAACACTGTGGAAGTGATTTTCCTTACTGCTGTCGAGTATGCTTGCAGTTTCCCTTGAATATCAGACACTATTTGAAAACGCCGTCCCTTCAGTTTCATTTTCAATTTGGGAAACAAAGCGAAATCACAAGGGGTTAAGTCCAGCGAATAGGGAGGATGGGGAATGATAACCGTGTTGTTGTTAGTCACAAACTCTGTGGTTTTCAGGGACATGTGGGCGGGGTCATTTCGTGATGAAGGAGCATTTTCAAATTTTCTGTTAAGAAATCCTGGCAAACTCCATAACTGATCCTAACGGTGTATTGTTCAGCAACTGTCTTCATGGATGAGCTCTAGAATTCTTTCGACATTTTCAGTCGTTTTGCTGGTGTATGGTGGTCCTGAACATTCGTTGTCTTCAGCTGACACTCAACCAGCCTTGAAACGTGAATGCCATTCAAAAACCGCTGTCTCGGCTTAAAGGGTTTCCTCCAAAAGCCTCACGAAACGTTTTAGTGGTTTCGGTAGGGGATTTTTCCGAATTTCACGCAAAACTTGATGCAGACACGTTGCTCGATTTTACCATCCATCGCAGATAAAATGAAGCACAAAGTCCAAAAAGCACTCATGTAAAAACAGTGCGCGTTCACAGCGCGGTGTCATGTGTCAGACTGATGCAATAGGCTTTCAGAAGTGTAACCTTGGCCTCCCCTCTCATTTTCTTCACTGAGGCAGTTACAACAATAACATTCCTGGAACTATCTGATACCACTTCATACTTAGTCATGCTCCATCATTATTTGTAGCTCTGGCCAAGTGTTACAAAGTTAGTTATGTTTGACATGTATCTTGTTCAAGTCTCAACTGATACCAGTTACCCTGACTGGCATTTTTTATGTCTGTCAGTCTTCCAAGCAATTGCTAGCATAGACCCCTCCATGAAAAGGGTCCTATGACTTTAGCTTTCATTTCCTTTTTGTGTCATATGCTGTTATATTGATGTTTGACAGCAGCATATCTCTTCTAATTAACAGAGCACTAACATAATTAAAACTTTATTCTGGTGGTTGTAGACAGCCACATCACGCAAAATCTGAATGGCTACATGCTCTGTATAGTGTTGTAGAAGGATTTCACTTGCAATAAGGTTTTGTGTTGTGGAACCATTAGACAACATTAGAGTAGAGTACTTCTAACTTACATTCTGAGATTTCTTCCGCCTCTGCCCCGAGCGAACCTGCCCTATTCATACTCCTAACATTCCAAGTACCAAATCTCAAATCCATTTTCTTTCGCTTATGTCGTTCATCCAAGAAATCTGTCCAGGTCCGAGGCTTCTTGAAAATTTTCGTAACAAGCTTATTTTTACGGTGAGGAATTGTTAGCCCCACGTCCATCCTCAATGCTTTAGGACCACCCCTTGTCGGCTCTCAGCGTCTGCTTATTCAATATATTTGCAGCCTCCCTCCATACTTGGAGGGCGTCCCCTTTATCCGCAACCTGAGGATGCTCCATGTCGTGGTGACAAGGGACCTACCTAACATGGTACGGACATGATGCGTTCCAATTATGGCATTTACTTTTCATGGAATCTAAAATTCATTACTTTATATAGGATCAGGTTTAGGTAAAGAGTAGATAGGTTGGATATTGGATAGATGGGGAGTGGGAGCCCCTCTTCACGGACTGCAACATTGGCGTGGTGAGACGGCTTGCGTGTCTCTTTGCCTCCGGAGCAGAGAGGCAAAACTAATGGAAGTCTAGCGCAAAATAAGTAATACGAGTAGTACGTAATTGACAAAATAAAAATTACCTTTGAAGGGAATTTCTGTACAGAGTTGTATTACGTTCCTGAGAAACTGCATTAATGCATTTTAAAGTGGTTTCTGCTGTTTTTGATTTCTGTTGTAAATTTACGCAATTCCCTGGTATAGGTGAATATCTAAATAAGTTTATGTGAGCTGCAGACTTCACTTGATTCTGCAAAACACGGTGGTTGCTCCGTATACTACTTCTACCTGCTTTAAAATTCGCAACTCAGAATTTTGCTCACTGAGTTTATTTATGTTTTATTTTCTGAAAATTAAACAGCGATTATTTCCGTAAGCACGTTGGTACTTTGGTTGGAAATGCGGTATCGTCATTGAGCTAAGAATTTATTTCTTATGTGCCATTTTGTTTATTTTAATTCTTTAGAACCTTAACTTCCTTCTCGTGTTCTGCAGAATTAAACAAAAAAAGACAGGATGTGAAACACAGAAGCTAATAAAGAAAAGTCAACCAGAAAATTGCTCGTAAATTACTCTTTACTATTCGGGCAATGGTATCGTAGAAACGAAATAAAGTATGAGGTGAACACAAGTGTACTCTCTCTCATTTTCATGCAATGGTCATGCAAACCTCCACAAATTAAACACGGCCGGATACGATACAAATGAGGCCGTGCCATAGCTCAGGCTGTTAGTTGCAGGATTTTCACCGCGGCAGCCCGGGTTCGAGCCCAGGTCAGATCATGTGGGATTTGTGGATGATAAAGTAGCACTGGGGTAGTTTTTTTTTCCAAGTACTTTCGTTTCCCTTGCCAATTTTCCTTCCACGGGCTACTACACATTCGTCATTATCTTTCATCCGGCGCTGGTACAATAGGCCAATTAGTGGTCGATGTACCAAGTGAACTCAAGTCTCACCCCACCCCAGAAACTCAAAACTAACTATCTAGATGCAAATGAGGGATAATTTTCAAATTCCGACCACTTTACTCCCGGGTAGAATGCTTTCAGTATCCATTAGATAGAAGGCTTGATGGTAATTGGTATCCGAGGCAAACATTTCATTTCTACCGAGAAATGAACACCGGCCGTGCAGCGTATGGTCAGTCCCCGTACTAATTGAGCTCTTCCGATTGTGAATAATCGCAAAAGAATCACAGTCTACTCAAAACTGTAGTACTTTTCCTCAGTGCTGTTTCAGAAAAACACAAGTGGAGGCAAATCTGGGTTGCATAGACTGAGACAGAGACTGACATCCATTGTAACTAATTTCCATCCCCCATTTAGTTAACTGTCTACGGTGACTGAGATGTAAGCCACAGTGATTCCACGTGTATGAGTGACTATAGACGGGGTTTGGATTCGTAACTGTATTTATTGACCAATATTGACAAGTAACTAGAGCGTTATCACTAATTCACACACTCACAGATCCACTACAGCACGTACTAATACTTGTCAGTCTGCAGTGTCTTAACAAATTTTTGTCTGATAACGGCTTCGAACGGCGAACGTTCCCCTTACTCTGGGTCCCTGAAATATCCCTGTGCCTCAACTACTAGCTTCTAAAAGCAACAGCTCAAAACGACTAAGCCCCAGCAGTCCTCCAACTCATCCACTCACGAACCAACTCGCTTTACCCCACTGCACTAACTAACTCTAATTGTCCTGCTTGTAACACCTCGGTAAGGACCGCAGAGAAATCGCCGCTCCTCTATTGTTGTCCAGTTGTTGTTCAGCGGACCGCACAGAAAATACCGTTCCTCTGTTGCTGTTCATTGGTCCACGTCAGGTATATATTACGTAGCAACTGGCGTTGTTTATAGAGTCATTCCTTAACAACGGATCTACATGCCACTATATTGTCACGATTTAAGGGTAGAACTATAGATGGGTTATTGATTGGTGAATGGATTTAGTGACCACGTGTACACACCACTCGGAACTACAAGTAATTACAGCATTATCGCCAATCTCCACACTCTACAATCACCCTAAATATTTTTCAGTATGCTGTATTTTCAACAGCGGCTCCCTGGCAACGGCTTCTAACAGCGTCGATTCTTTACCTATACGAGCTCAGATCCTCTTGTCACAGCCGCCATTGCAGAACTCTTGTCAACTGAACTAAAACGACAATTTTCCTAAGCCTCCCTTGCAGAGGTCAACTGAATTGGTTGCCCCAATTATCTTCATTTTAACTCCTCGGCGCGGACCGCATAGACAACACCCAATTTTTCCCGTTGCATGCGTTACCATTGCAACAGGAACATGTTTACCAAGCCGTTGCCCAGAAACGGATCTGATGTAACCGCCCATCTCGCGGTCGTTGCTTAACTCTGTTATTTTAAAGGCGCGTTTACTGCGGCCTTGCACAACAACGGCCGCCGACTTTGTTCCTGTGCTTAACTAATTAAGCACTACGCCATGAAGAAGTATTGGGGAGTGGATGTATAGATCCACATTTTCTTGATCTCGGCACTAGCTGGAGGTGACTCTCGTTCCTACCGAAAATCGAACCCGTCCTTCAGCTCGCAGCCTTGTCTTTACAGTCTCAGTTACCAAAAGCGTCTTGAGAATAATTTAGAAAACAAATTTCTGCTGATGCTGCGCCGTACAGAGACGTTCAGGCATGAACTTCACATTAGGCTGTCTCTTTACATAGAACCTAAACGTTTTAATAACGAATCTGCTTTTAAGATCTGTATCCAGATAAGATGTCATGTATTTAGGTAGAATCCTCCTTTAATTATTCCAATACAAATGAAAAGACTAATCTTAACGGAACGTCGATTTGAAGTCCCCACAGAGGTGGCTGTGAAGAATTCGGTCTGCTGGGATATATTGCCGTGTAGGCTCGTGAATGTCAACAGACATGTTTGAAGATCATGATATGTGACATGGAATACAGTACTAATAAGCTAAATTTTAAGATTATTCTAAAATACCCTCAATCTCTAAGTCCTGACAGGATGTGCTGCATAAATCTAAAAATGTTATGATCAGCCGAAGGACTATCAGCTTATCACCGAAGATCCTGCGCTGCAGAGTTGGGATTCTTAACGAACTGTAATTTGAAACCCATGTACAATTTACGGCA